TATATATATATATATATATATATATATATATATATATATATATATATATATATATATATATATATATATATATATATATACTGTAACTAGATATAAGTCTAACTAAATATTCAGATTTACATTTATATGTTCATATTTGTATCTGTACTTAATATGAAGCAATTCGTTCTTGACAATTTTAATAGACTTTACTAATTAAAATTTGATGTCTTTTTTATAACATAACTTTTTAACAGAACACAAGTATTTTTGTGGTGACATTGGAAATCTAAATTTTATATAAAGCTTTTTTTTCACAGGCAAAAAAATACAACTATATGAGTTATACAGTATAATTAACTTGAATATATGCACAATTCAAACCTTAGTTCATTCCTTAGTGGATAAACATTCATTAAAATGAGTAAGTACTAAATATATATTTAATGTCTTCCCCATATCAGCGCACAAGAGAAATTTCTCATTATTTTCTCGTTCCTGTAATCTGTGCTCCTTTCCCAGATGGCTATGCTGTTAAAACTACAAGAGGCTGCCAATTACATCGAGTCACCAGAGAAAGAAACCGATCCAAAACTCCCTCCTCTCTGAACATCTCCTCCATCTCTCCTGCCGCCCATGTCCAGGTCCAAACTCCGTCACCTGCAGATGACACTGTACTGTTACTATAAATGCTGTTAGTGCATTTCACCCACTCTTTTATTATATTATTCATCCCACCTTGTTTATTTCAGTAAGTTACTGCTCTCTTTGTAGCAAATGGTGCAAATGTAGAAAACCAAATACTCAGTGCTTTATTCAGTATGAGCCTTTTATTTGAAGTACTAGAGACGATCACCCCAATAAAGTGCACACGGATGCGAAGACGAAGATTATCTTGGATTATTTGGTGCTATTCTGTATAACTATTGGAAAAAATGACTTGGGTTAGCAAAAATCTCACTCGACATCCAATAGCCTTAGTCTTGTGGCATTTAAGGGCATCTTTAGGTACAACCAAGTATTTATACAATCCTTCTAGTCGCAGTTTTAGAGCTGTAAGCATCAAGTTTCTTTAGACGTAGTTTAAACATTGCACTAAAAGTCCACCTCAAAGTAAATCAACCTCCTAATGGTAGTCTAAAAACATATCAAACCGCACGGCATTTCTCTGAAGCTTACGATAAATATCAAAGTCGGCATTTCTGTTGAGCACTAACGAGAGTAGTGTACACTACATCCATACGTCCTCAGAGCTCACACAGAAGAGGATTCGCTCATAGAAAGCAGTGGTGGACTAGTAATTTCCCATCTCTGTACCTGAAACTAGTATCCAAACATACATGTACTGTAGGTAAGATCTAGGCTATTAAAGTTCAAATCTAACTCGTTCCTTTCTATTCATCTATCCTGCATTATCATTACTCTACACAGTGTAAATATGATTTTCGTAGTTCCTTCTCCAAGAAATGAGGGGTTGTGGAGTTTATTAGCCAAATAGAGAGAGACTCGTAATGTTCAAGATGGCAAAATGATTTAGTTATTTTAGCCTCCTTCAGTTGCGCTGCTGCTGCTTCAAGTCTAATGTGTGACTTTTATATTTGATTACATTCCAGACATAAGACGGTGTGTCAATGGCTTTTGTTGCTTATCTGCTGAAGATCCTAGTTGGCCATTTGCAGTTTAATTTTATATCAATAAATGCTACTGCAACAAAATATTACATTTCATAACCGCAGCATGTCGGTGAATTACCACTGATATTGAATCTGGATCAGCGAATAAAGCTAATCATTGAGGGAATAAATCTCATTCCGGTTTTACGCGAGTGGTTTCATTGTCAGCAGCTATTCTTTGTTTTAAAAAGACGTTTATAAGTGTGACTAAAGCCGCTGTACAATGTCTGCATCATGTTCCTGGTTATTGTGCCTGTGACTGTGTGATAGCTGTGCTATGTTGTGCAAAGTCCCATTTAATGCGACAATTCAGCAACTTTTTACTGTCTACTTTGTCTGTCCTGAAATGATAGTGACAGCACATGGATGGTGACTGGTAAAACTGGATTTTTACATTGATTTCACTGTCTCTGTCGCTCATAAGCTTTGGTTTGTGTTTGGTTTCACTCTTTAATGCACCTTTTTATGTGGACTTTATTGTTGCAATAATTTGTCATGTGTGTTAAACAGAGTCAGGAACTCTTATTGATAAAGACTTCGGGTGATTGTATGCCTTGAGGGGGCTGTCTTGAGGTCAGGGTCAAGTGAATGAAAACCTACAGTATATCAGGTGGTGTGGTTTTATGTAATGTATTTCAAAGAGGACCAATGAAAAATATAAAGATAATATTACAGATACAAAGTGGTGAGAAGTTGCTGAATAGTCCCTTCACTTCATGCAATGCTTGATATTGATTCGAAAGTCCAATACTATTGCATAAAAGGTAATATGACGGTAGAAGATGTAAGTTACAATATGCAATGGGTTGCTAAATGTCGTAAACGCATGTCACCTTAGTGTGAAGCAGAATTACGGATGTGTTCTACCTAATTTGGGGTCATATAAAAGGAATGATATTAGTTTCTTTTTATTGTAATGTTCCCCCAAATGATTGTTTGTACGACTTCATTTCCATTTTGTACAGAACGTTATAAATGTAAACATTGTACATAGCGTGGCCCTGCATTTGCAACAACAATCATTTAACAAAAAAACATTATGTCATTAAGAAATGTGGTTTGTAAGGAAGACGTGTGCTTTTGTTACCGATGGAGTGGCCCAGTACACAAAAACTGGCATGCTTCGGATGTTCGTAATATGACCACCAAGACGTTGTCCATCTGTCATAATAAAACCACAACGTTCGTTAACTGTGTTCTTTGTTGTGTCTTATGTTTTCACATGCTTTGAAGTATGCAGAGTAAAAATGTGTTTAGTGTTAACTTTTAAACTACCTTTGTTCCTTACCTTAAACATGAAGGCTTATGTAATTTGTGGAATTAAATCAGTTTAGTATGTACTTAATTTTCTGCAAAATACAATTTTTATTATTTGTAATCAACCGTTTGCCATTACTAAAGTCTTCTTTGTGCAATTTATGTAGACTACTTAATTGTATTTGTTTCCCAAATGACGCACTATACACTGCACTTATGCATGGTGTACTTATTCACTATGTACTCAACCATGTAGTGTATGAATTATATAAGGTTACGTTGTCATTCATAAACGGAGTCTGATAGCCCCTCCCCCTTCACTACATAGGCTAATTAAAGCTGCTACAGTTGAGTGCATGAAGTGTTCAACATTCCACACTTCAGGTGCATCCCAAATCACGTAGGCTACTTAAGTATTATTCTATGACGTTTTGTAGTATAAATAGTGTGAGTATTGTGTTTACACTGAAAATTCCAAAAAGAAAAATTGCACTTTAAATACCCGGATGATGCACTTAAGTAATAAAGTGTGGAATGTTGAACACTTCATGCACTCAACTGTTGCAGCTTTAATTAGGTAGCAAAGAGGGAGGGGCTACCTTATATAAATCATACACTACGGTCGCCGGGATTTTGCCAAGTAAGACATGTTCCTGGATCAACATCTTTTGTTGATCCTGGATCAACACTACTGTCCAAAAATACAGACTTAACTCAATCCCCACCCCTAAACCTAACTTTACCCATAATTTATTCCTAAAATCAGAGGGAAATGATAGCTGATTAACAAGGGTGAAGAAGCACCTAATCCTGATTGTAAGCCTAAAACTGACATTTCCTGAAGTTATCTCTCAATTCTGATTGTTTGATTGGAATGATGTTTTAGGATCAGCAAGGATGTTGATCCAGGAACATGTTGTACTTGGTCAAATCACGCTCACCATACACTACGTGGTTGAGTAGATAGTTTATAAGTGCATAGTGTCGTTTTCGGTTATTTAAGTGCATCATCCAGCTATTTAAAAATGTTAAGATTTTTTTTATTAAAATATCCAAAAACCACTAGACCAGTGTTATATATTTTGCTGACTTGTGTACTTACATTATCCCAAATGTTTCGAAGAATGTTTAAATCCAGAGAAATAAGCAATTTTAACTAGTGACACGGACCGTGTCTATAGTGTCATAGTGTCGCCAATGACGTCATAACCCCTCAATTTCCGGTTTTGTTTTGTAGAAAACATGGAAACACCAAAGACGCTTTAATACATTATGCATTTTATTAGACAGGTGACGACCGCAAAGAGTAGCATTATAACAGAATTTCAAATTATCTAGTATGATAAAACAGTGCTGCTTTTTTTCCCCACATATGCACGACCGGAAGGAGCGGAAGCGGTCGACTGTGGCAATTATGCATTTTATTAGACAGGTGACGACCGCAAAGAGTAGCATTATAACAGAATTTCAAATTATCTAGTATGATAAAACAGTGCTGCTTTTTTTCCCCACATATGCACGACCGGAAGGAGCGGAAGCGCTCGACTGTGGCATAATAAAAGCTCCGCTGCTTTACCCCACATACGCACGACCGGAAGCAGCAGAAGCGCTCGACTGTGGCATAATAAAAGCTCCGCTGCTTTACCCCACATGCGCACGACCGGAAGCAGCAGAAGCGCTCGACTGTGGCATAATAAAAGCACCGCTGCTTTTGAGTCGTGTGTAATGCTCGTTCAGCGGCCTCGTTTCGACGGCTTTCAGCCTCGCCCTGCTTCATTCTACTACGTTAATAAATCATAGCTCATCCATGAACATCGGCTGTGAGGATGAAGACGACAACTCCCATGATTCCACACTTAGTCACAGTGTAATCAAACTACCCTTTGTCTATTTGTTTATTTTGAATACGCGCCCTCTAGCGGCGAAAAATTACATTGTGCTTTTAAAGTGCACTTTTTCTTTTTGGAATTTTCAGTGTGAACACTACTCACACTATTTATGCTATGAAACGTCATAGAATAGTGCATAAGGGACGCACCTTTTAGGCTACATCTTGACGTTACTAAAGCATTTAAATGCAGTTTAAGTTTTACCTTTTTATTTTCTGGAATTAAAAATCGGTTTAGTATGTACTTAAAATGTCCCTCCCCCACCCCTCAGTACTGGCACACTTCTTATCGGCACTGGACTGTGAGTACAGTGAATATATACAGCTTAAGTGAGCGTGATGCTGAGAGCTCCGCTCCCTCACTAGTCACTTGAAACTCTGAAGGGGAGGAGTTGAGTAGCACCACATGCCTTAGGCTATAAATCTGGGGTGACCCATCTTCAGACTGAGCCGAAGGACTTACTAGGTCAGAGGGATCCCAGAAGCGGACAAGCATGCCGGCAAAACCAGCCCCGATAAAGAAGTCGGCTAAGGCCGCCAAGAAGGAGGAACCGGCACCCGCACCTGCACCCGAACCAGCGCCCGAGCCCGCTCCCGCACCCGAGCCCGCCCCCGCTGAACCAGCCCCCGCCGAACCTGCCCCCGCCGAAGCCGCTCCAGCGGAGGAAGCCCCAGCTGAAGGAGCCCCGGCGGAGGCACCTCCTGCTGAAGCCCCACCAGCCGAACCCGCTGCAGGTACTGAGTGTGTCCGGAGACCCCAAACTAAATGCATTGATCTTAAAAAGTGCATTCTAAATGGATACTTTTATTGGATTAATATCTATAAGAAAGAGCATAGCTTTTCTTAAAAGAGTAAAATCAGTCATATTTAAGTCCAAATTTGTAAGAAAAAAAGAAATTATGATTTGCATAAATAATAATGAGAATAATCCAGTCATGATGATGAATCCTGATTTAAATCAGCATTAATGAAATTGATTACAGCAAATAGTGCTATGAAGTACATTCAAGTAGCCTACTACTTTATAATTTAAATATTTTACATATTTATGTGTAATAAGAATTAGAAGAAGAATTTGCTTAATTGTCATGTTACCATGCAAAGAAAAACCAAAAATAGTGTCATTTGCTTTATGCAAGATAGTTTCTTTTATCTTACAATGATTTGGAGAAATATGACCCTGCTTCTGTAAGATCCACTCTATCATTTGTAATGATAAATGCAAACAAACAAACAGACACTATTAACACTTATGTCATTTAATAATGACCTCCTAATGCATGATAACTTAGTGTGCATTGCTACTGGAGCCAAGAACTCTTGGTAGGCTAGCTACTTGGAAAACATCTGACTACAGCTGATGGTTTAAAAAAAACAAGTGAGCATTTACACCTGTTAACCTCTCCTCGCTTCTACACTAAACTGATCATACCAGCTGTTCGCCCTGACCTACTCCACGCCTATTCTGCTACTTTTGCTCTACTTCAAAGGTGCGTTTGATTTCCAGGAAAAAAAAAAATTAACTATCATTAATTTATTTCTTTATTTTGCCTTTTTGGATTAAAATGCATTTTTCAAAAATACCATGGTAGCCATAGTGTCCACAAAAATACCATATTACGACCTGTAGTGAAAAGTACTGTAGCAGTACTACGGTACAATGAAGATACTCATGATGCACCATTTCATTAACATGCTACTCCAAGGTACTTTAAAGAACACCATGTCCATGTAGTAATTTTTGGTACTTTTTGTCATTGAATGTTATGTTATAGTACTTTTCGCCTTGTGCTTACTAAAATAAAATGTTGTTATGTGTCAAAAATTTAACAGGTAGCAGAAAGATTTTGAAATTGTTAACCTATTTATGATTTACAGTGGTGGTATTTTCTTGGAAACTGTGGTTAACAAGGTGAAATGCAGTCAAAATAATTTTTTTTTTATTAATACAAAATTGTTTTGGTGTCTGCAGAACATAAATCTTAACATGAGCTTCTACAGAAGCCCAATTCCTTAATCTTTCACTATAATGTGCGATCATTCATGATAATCTGTTCTGCTCTCTAACAAAAGCAAAGCATGCCGTTCACCACCTGTGCAATTATTATTTTAACACCAGCTATATCCACTGAGACCTTATAAGCCAGAGGTATTTAGAACTTGTAGCAAATGCAGACAACTCTATTCGCAGTCCCACAGAGAGCTTTAACACAATGCATGAAGAAAATAATAAATATTTAACTATGATGTTTTAATTAGCAAGCCCAGTCTTTTGCAGTCACAAGGTAAGTGCGTAATTAAGGGGACTTCTTTAGTGATTGTTGATTTTAGAAATATACACAAAAATATACACATACACAAAATGGATGAATATAAATGATATTATTTTGTGTACAACTTATATGCTATCACTAAATAATTAAATTTCTTACTGTTTAGACAAGGTTAAATATACTAAAATGAGCTTGAAACAGATAATGTGCACATTCATCCAGTCTGATTCCATTTTCTGTGAATGCCAGGAATCGCAAAATGACCAAATATTGTTTGACGTATCGATGTGTACTTTTAAAAATATATTCTGTGCATGCAAATCAAGCCTCAAATATTTGGTCCATTCTAACATTTTACTGTTCTTATGCGATGGCCACATCGCATAAGAAGCCGCTGCAAACGCTGCTGAGGCCCCGCTAATGGTAACAGCAGTGCTAAGCCAATGGTAAACAGCTACTGTATATTTATTTGTCACACTGCATTTGCACAGTACTGAAAAAGTCAGTCAACATGAAAGACAAAATGTTCGCAACCCATTTTAAAAGCATGTTCAGTGAGTTAACAATGCACCCAACTTCAGTGTGTCAGTATTGCCTTCATGTTGACTCTCTAATCTAATCAATGCATTTTTCTAATAAAGTCAATGTTAGAAATGCACCAATTTTATATTGAAGGTACTGAATTTGGAAACTCTGTGTGCTGAGATCATATTTTGGATTATGCCAAAACCTGACCTGAGCTATTATTCCATAATTTTTGACAAAACTAATGCCTGACGCTCTATTACATGCCGCTTTTATTAATGTGCCTATTTAACACCAGCTGATGCAGAAGCTCCACCTGCTGAGGAAATCAAAGCACCTACACCTCCTCCACCTGCAGGTAAACCCACGGGGAATCAAAACCGCTTCAGATCACCTACATTGTGTAATTTCCAATTGAAACATCAGTGCCTGATTTTAGTTTGAAATATTAAATGCGTGTTTTCCTCTCCAGAGCCCACCAGTGAGCCTCTCGAGCTCGGCGTTGAGGATGTCAATGACATTTCCGTCACTATCTCATGGAGACCACCAGCCACCATCGGAAACTCTGGTCTGGATGGATACACTGTGGAAATCTGCAAGGAAGGAAGTGAGTCTGATGTCAATTTAAAAGTTCAGCGATTTTGCAATAAAAATGCCTTTTTGTTCTAGATCTTTAAATCAAAATTGGTTGCAAACACTGGGGTAATAAAGCCCTCAATGAGGATTAAACTGAAAATCTAAAGCCTTTTCATTTGATTACGGAGTCTTGCAGAGCACTTGCATTCATTTGCATCTTGAAATGCCACCTCACAATACCGTACCTTAAATTAAACGCAGCAAAAAGTTCATTAGCATTTTATTAGCTGGTCAAAGCTCTCAGTTGCACCTGTCCCCAGTATGTCAACAGCAACATACACCCACCTCAGTTGTGTCCCTATATGGAGTGAGGCATTTCTAGAAGTCTGACCGCAGAAGAGCATGGCTGGTGCGCTCATGTCAGTTGCACACACATAAATACAGTGTGCTGATACAGCTGATAAAGTGCAAATACGTTCTGAAAAAAAAAAAAGTATATTCACTCACATATCGATTCGTTTCCGGAAAACATAAACTGACACATTTCAATTGTCATTTTCATTTTTAAAAAATAATAATACTGTAATAATATTTATGTACCGAATTGTATTTAAAGGGGTCGTATGATGTTGCTAAAAAGAACATTATTTTGTGTATTTGGTGTAATGAAATGTGTTTATGCGGTTTAAGGTTAAAAAAACACATTATTTTCCACATACTGTACATTATTTTTTCTCCTCTATGCCCCGTCTCTCTGAAACGCTTTGTTTTCTACAAAGCCCCTCCTTCCGACAAGCGCAGTCTGCTCTGATTGGCCAGCTGACCCAGTGCATTGTGATTAAGGGACGCACCTTTTAGGCTACATCTTGACGTTACTAAAGCATTTAAATGCAGTTTAAGTTTTACCTTTTTATTTTCTGGAATTAAAAATCGGTTTAGTATGTACTTAAAATGTCCCTCCCCCACCCCTCAGTACTGGCACACTTCTTATCGGCACTGGACTGTGAGTACAGTGAATATATACAGCTTAAGTGAGCGTGATGCTGAGAGCTCCGCTCCCTCACTAGTCACTTGAAACTCTGAAGGGGAGGAGTTGAGTAGCACCACATGCCTTAGGCTATAAATCTGGGGTGACCCATCTTCAGACTGAGCCGAAGGACTTACTAGGTCAGAGGGATCCCAGAAGCGGACAAGCATGCCGGCAAAACCAGCCCCGATAAAGAAGTCGGCTAAGGCCGCCAAGAAGGAGGAACCGGCACCCGCACCTGCACCCGAACCAGCGCCCGAGCCCGCTCCCGCACCCGAGCCCGCCCCCGCTGAACCAGCCCCCGCCGAACCTGCCCCCGCCGAAGCCGCTCCAGCGGAGGAAGCCCCAGCTGAAGGAGCCCCGGCGGAGGCACCTCCTGCTGAAGCCCCACCAGCCGAACCCGCTGCAGGTACTGAGTGTGTCCGGAGACCCCAAACTAAATGCATTGATCTTAAAAAGTGCATTCTAAATGGATACTTTTATTGGATTAATATCTATAAGAAAGAGCATAGCTTTTCTTAAAAGAGTAAAATCAGTCATATTTAAGTCCAAATTTGTAAGAAAAAAAGAAATTATGATTTGCATAAATAATAATGAGAATAATCCAGTCATGATGATGAATCCTGATTTAAATCAGCATTAATGAAATTGATTACAGCAAATAGTGCTATGAAGTACATTCAAGTAGCCTACTACTTTATAATTTAAATATTTTACATATTTATGTGTAATAAGAATTAGAAGAAGAATTTGCTTAATTGTCATGTTACCATGCAAAGAAAAACCAAAAATAGTGTCATTTGCTTTATGCAAGATAGTTTCTTTTATCTTACAATGATTTGGAGAAATATGACCCTGCTTCTGTAAGATCCACTCTATCATTTGTAATGATAAATGCAAACAAACAAACAGACACTATTAACACTTATGTCATTTAATAATGACCTCCTAATGCATGATAACTTAGTGTGCATTGCTACTGGAGCCAAGAACTCTTGGTAGGCTAGCTACTTGGAAAACATCTGACTACAGCTGATGGTTTAAAAAAAACAAGTGAGCATTTACACCTGTTAACCTCTCCTCGCTTCTACACTAAACTGATCATACCAGCTGTTCGCCCTGACCTACTCCACGCCTATTCTGCTACTTTTGCTCTACTTCAAAGGTGCGTTTGATTTCCAGGAAAAAAAAAAATTAACTATCATTAATTTATTTCTTTATTTTGCCTTTTTGGATTAAAATGCATTTTTCAAAAATACCATGGTAGCCATAGTGTCCACAAAAATACCATATTACGACCTGTAGTGAAAAGTACTGTAGCAGTACTACGGTACAATGAAGATACTCATGATGCACCATTTCATTAACATGCTACTCCAAGGTACTTTAAAGAACACCATGTCCATGTAGTAATTTTTGGTACTTTTTGTCATTGAATGTTATGTTATAGTACTTTTCGCCTTGTGCTTACTAAAATAAAATGTTGTTATGTGTCAAAAATTTAACAGGTAGCAGAAAGATTTTGAAATTGTTAACCTATTTATGATTTACAGTGGTGGTATTTTCTTGGAAACTGTGGTTAACAAGGTGAAATGCAGTCAAAATATTTTTTTTTTTATTAATACAAAATTGTTTTGGTGTCTGCAGAACATAAATCTTAACATGAGCTTCTACAGAAGCCCAATTCCTTAATCTTTCACTATAATGTGCGATCATTCATGATAATCTGTTCTGCTCTCTAACAAAAGCAAAGCATGCCGTTCACCACCTGTGCAATTATTATTTTAACACCAGCTATATCCACTGAGACCTTATAAGCCAGAGGTATTTAGAACTTGTAGCAAATGCAGACAACTCTATTCGCAGTCCCACAGAGAGCTTTAACACAATGCATGAAGAAAATAATAAATATTTAACTATGATGTTTTAATTAGCAAGCCCAGTCTTTTGCAGTCACAAGGTAAGTGCGTAATTAAGGGGACTTCTTTAGTGATTGTTGGTTTTAGAAATATACACAAAAATATACACATACACAAAATGGATGAATATAAATGATATTATTTTGTGTACAACTTATATGCTATCACTAAATAATTAAATTTCTTACTGTTTAGACAAGGTTAAATATACTAAAATGAGCTTGAAACAGATAATGTGCACATTCATCCAGTCTGATTCCATTTTCTGTGAATGCCAGGAATCGCAAAATGACCAAATATTGTTTGACGTATCGATGTGTACTTTTAAAAATATATTCTGTGCATGCAAATCAAGCCTCAAATATTTGGTCCATTCTAACATTTTACTGTTCTTATGCGATGGCCACATCGCATAAGAAGCCGCTGCAAACGCTGCTGAGGCCCCGCTAATGGTAACAGCAGTGCTAAGCCAATGGTAAACAGCTACTGTATATTTATTTGTCACACTGCATTTGCACAGTACTGAAAAAGTCAGTCAACATGAAAGACAAAATGTTCGCAACCCATTTTAAAAGCATGTTCAGTGAGTTAACAATGCACCCAACTTCAGTGTGTCAGTATTGCCTTCATGTTGACTCTCTAATCTAATCAATGCATTTTTCTAATAAAGTCAATGTTAGAAATGCACCAATTTTATATTGAAGGTACTGAATTTGGAAACTCTGTGTGCTGAGATCATATTTTGGATTATGCCAAAACCTGACCTGAGCTATTATTCCATAATTTTTGACAAAACTAATGCCTGACGCTCTATTACATGCCGCTTTTATTAATGTGCCTATTTAACACCAGCTGATGCAGAAGCTCCACCTGCTGAGGAAATCAAAGCACCTACACCTCCTCCACCTGCAGGTAAACCCACGGGGAATCAAAACCGCTTCAGATCACCTACATTGTGTAATTTCCAATTGAAACATCAGTGCCTGATTTTAGTTTGAAATATTAAATGCGTGTTTTCCTCTCCAGAGCCCACCAGTGAGCCTCTCGAGCTCGGCGTTGAGGATGTCAATGACATTTCCGTCACTATCTCATGGAGACCACCAGCCACCATCGGAAACTCTGGTCTGGATGGATACACTGTGGAAATCTGCAAGGAAGGAAGTGAGTCTGATGTCAATTTAAAAGTTCAGCGATTTTGCAATAAAAATGCCTTTTTGTTCTAGATCTTTAAATCAAAATTGGTTGCAAACACTGGGGTAATAAAGCCCTCAATGAGGATTAAACTGAAAATCTAAAGCCTTTTCATTTGATTACGGAGTCTTGCAGAGCACTTGCATTCATTTGCATCTTGAAATGCCACCTCACAATACCGTACCTTAAATTAAACGCAGCAAAAAGTTCATTAGCATTTTATTAGCTGGTCAAAGCTCTCAGTTGCACCTGTCCCCAGTATGTCAACAGCAACATACACCCACCTCAGTTGTGTCCCTATATGGAGTGAGGCATTTCTAGAAGTCTGACCGCAGAAGAGCATGGCTGGTGCGCTCATGTCAGTTGCACACACATAAATACAGTGTGCTGATACAGCTGATAAAGTGCAAATACGTTCTGAAAAAAAAAAAAGTATATTCACTCACATATCGATTCGTTTCCGGAAAACATAAACTGACACATTTCAATTGTCATTTTCATTTTTAAAAAATAATAATACTGTAATAATATTTATGTACCGAATTGTATTTAAAGGGGTCATATGATGTTGCTAAAAAGAACATTATTTTGTGTATTTGGTGTAATGAAATGTGTTTATGCGGTTTAAGGTTAAAAAAACACATTATTTTCCACATACTGTACATTATTTTTTCTCCTCTATGCCCCGTCTCTCTGAAACGCTTTGTTTTCTACAAAGCCCCTCCTTCCGACAAGCGCAGTCTGCTCTGATTGGCCAGCTGACCCAGTGCATTGTGATT